AAATATTTGTTTTACTATGAGAGAGCATCCCTCCCGTTTTTCCTTTCCCTGAGTGGAAAAATGCCCAAATTTCTATTAGTGGCCAGCACTTCTGTGGGACCCGCCGCTCCGTCTTGACCTGTTTTCAGCAGCAGTTCTTGGCCTGGGGTCACCAGGATAGGGTGGGTGGTGTTCACTCCACAGCTTTCCCTCCAACTCCAGAAAGCCTAAGGGCGTGGAAGTGGGAGGGATGCCATTCTGGGGACATCCTTGGGCTTTTCCAGCATTGAGAAACGAGGTACATCATTCATGAAACTGGGTGCTTTGTCATTAATAGCAGTGTTGCAAACAATAACCGCTGGTACGTACCAGCCACTCACAAGTGCTAGTATGTTGTGATGGGTTCTCTCTGAGTTACCCCTTGGAGTTCTCACAGCAGCCCTCTGAGTGGGTAGCCGCTGTCATCAGACCCATTGTACACAGGAGCAAACAACTTTCTTGGCTGTAGAGCTGAAGATCACAAGGCTGTTGAACCTGAACTCAGACTCAAGTCTGCGGTCCGCAGAGATTATTACCTACCGTGCGTTCAGCCCCTGCACCACAGCAGAGCCCACAGGTGTTTCCACACCTGCTCTCTTGGTCTCACAGGAGCCCTAGGTCATGGGGATGATGCCTCCAAAGGTACGTGGCCACAGGTAGCAGGGGTTGAGGATGAAGTACACGACCTCTCAGAGGCACTGCCAGTGCGGACCCAGGGCTCCAGGGAGACCTTTAATGACCTATGATACCATGAGGGTCCCTGTGGCTACACGTGCCTCAGCCTGAACTGATAGAAAATTACTCAGTGACTTTACTAAACATGTGCTACATACAGCCTGGGAACCATGCCACCTGCTACTTATTTTTATATATACTTACATATATATATCTGTGTATCTATATATGATTTCATTGTGTTTCTGTAGCACAGGAGCATTCATATAATGAAAGTAACAGTGACCATTTCACTTATACTTCTTGGTCACCGAATTAACTTAACTGAAGGGAGAGCTATGTCTAGTGCAGGTCATAACTGATGGCAGCAGAACATCACAAATGCCGGTGGACCTGTTCTGGCTGGGGCAGGAAGTGGGAGGGGCCTGGGTCGCATGCGTTGAGAGCCACAGTGGTCCTCAGGGCACCTTAGCCTGACTAGATGGTTGGTGGCATTCATGGTACAGCTCCTGTAACCATTGGGCACCCTGTATAGAACTCTTTCTATATGTTGAGCTCAGTGCTGAGTTTTTTACCGACATTTCCACATTTGGCTCTTAAAACGATCTTTGAGGTGGATACTGTCCCTGTTTTGCAGATCAGAGAAATGCTTAGCAGGGGCAAGTGATTTTGCAGTAAGGGACAGAGCTGAGGTTTGCGTCCAGTCTTCCTGGGTGCAAGTCCTGTGCCCTGCTGCTTCTCACCAACAATGTGTGGGGAGGCAGAGGGAGAAGTAAAGGGGGTCCAGGAGAGGAAACACTCCCCACGTAGTGCATCCCTTGTCACCTGGGCCACCCCCTGGGCTTGAACAGTCAAGGGATTGCGAGCTCAGAGTTTTCGTATCTCCTGCTGGTGTTGTAGGCACTCCAGCTGCTGTAGGTCCTCCCTAGTCCTAGTTGATCCCATTCCAGGGATGATCTCCTTTCCCCAGGGCTTGGGGTAGTGCACTCTGAAGTGATAGGGATCAGGGCCTTCAAGACAGCAGGACTCCTGTCGGCCTCTGGTTGTGACTCATATCCTGGGGCAGGTGGTGCATGAACACATGTGGGGTCCAAGCACTGGCTCTCGGCACGAAGTGTAAGGGGAAGAAAGCCGTGGGACAGCTGGGTGACTGCTGCCCTCCTCCTCCTCTTCATGGCAAAGCTGTGCTCTGAGCTCTGAGTCCTTGGTCATTTTAAAATGTGGAGTCTTGAATCATTGTGTCTGGGGATGTATAGCATGTGTAATTCCTTCATCACAGGCCTCTGGCTTACTTCTTAATGAGTTTTAAAATTAAGTTGGTCTTTAAAAAAAAGATTTTGGAGAGAGAAAACAATTAAGTTGGTCTTGGTAAAACAAATATTTGATGAGTATTTTTAATCTGTCCCCAAGTGGTTCTAGCCACAGGGTGTTAACCTACGGAGCCTCCTGGAGAGGCCACTGTGCAACTGGCTGTAACTCACTGGCTCTGAGGAAAGAAGGTTCTTCCTTCTCCTGCCTCTTGGAATGACGGGAAGTGATTACAGAATCGGGTGAAAGAGGGATTATGTTCTTGTCATGTTGGCTTGTGTGCTTCTGTTTTGTTTTGGTTGATCTTTATTGTTTGAAAGAGAAGTTACTGTCAGCATGTATAGAAAGAAATTTAGGATCAACAGATACTGATTTGAAGCCTACTCTGTGTAGGAACTGGATCTGTTTCATGAGCTTTCGCATTGAATCCCACCTGCCTTGGGAGAGAGAGACCCTTGCCCGTGCTACACTGACAGGTCGCGGTGGGAGGGGATGAACGGCAGTGTCTGCAGGGCAGTGCCCCTCGCCGCACAGCCGACCCTGCACCTGGGAGGAAGGAACATAAGCTCCATGTCAGCCGACAGCCATGGAGATGACCTCTCAGAAGGGACAGTGGAATTTCTTTAAAATCCTGTCTTCTCGGCATTGTAAAATGATAACTAACACACATTGAGGGGTTATTACTTGTCAAGACTGTTCTGAGTACTTCTTTTTTAGTAACCCACTTACACCTTGCACCAGCTCTGTGAGGTCGGTTCTGACATTGTCTTTATTGCACTGTCCCTCGACACAAACAAACGTTCTAATGGCAAAATTGTACAGTTTTTCATTCCTATCCCCTGTTCCACAGTGCTTGTTCTAAACTGGACTGCAATTTTAAAAGATTGATAAAACGCTGTGGTACAGGAGCAAAACAAGTTAAAGGAACAAAATAGCTATTCCAGAAACAGCAGATTTTGATGAATTTGAAAATGTGCTGTTTGCTCAGTTTCAATTACAGTACAGAATTAGCACTGAATCTGCTTCAGGAAACGTCTTCGTGGGCATGAGCGCTGCTGCCTACACAGGTGTATCGGACTTCCTTTGCCCTCCTTAGGGCAGGGCGCAGACAGGAAGCAGCACTGTTGCTGATAGATCTCCCCAAACGCCTTTTAAAACTGGGCTTTGTTGTAAGTTTTCAGTGAAGATGTAACACTTACTTCTTAAAGCATGACTTCTGTTTTGTGTGTGATTAAGGGCAGTTACTCTGGGTAGAGACTCTAGCCCAGGTGAGGCTGAGTTAATAGGTAGCTGTTTGCCTCTAGCATTAGCGAGGGGCATCTTCATTAAGGTGGTGGTATGGCAGGAGCGCTAAATAGATTACCATGGCATTTGTGGGTTTCAACCTGAACTCTGTCTTTTCCTGAAATTAAAAATGTTCAGTCTTCAGTAAAAGGTGCTTCCTAACACGTTGAAGCAGAAGCCACGTTAAATAGGTGAAATGACTAGGGCTCAGGAACTCAGCTGCAGAGGCTGATGGACGCGTGGACACTTCAAGGTAAGCATTGACTCTGGCAGGTTTTGTGCAAAAGCTGTTTAATCTCTGTGCACCCATCGGGACTGTTCTCCAGCACACGGGAAAGCTGCTGCTCTCCATCAGAGAACCCTGCCCACACACAGGGCCAGCTAACCCACAGGGACAAGGTCAAATTCATCTTTGAATACACAGAGCCTCACACACAGCAGATGTTCAAGAAATGCCGGCTAAATGAATGCATAAATTCTGCTTACCCCTTCGGCCAAATTGGCCTATGAGACGTTTTGAATTGTGTGATTCTATCACTGACGGACTTCCAGCAGTATCTGAAGACAGCAGATTGTCCTCAGACGCTGGGACGAAGCACAGGAAACTGGGAGAAACAGTTGGCCTGTGAAGGAACGAGGCACTGTGGTTGGATTAAGTCATACAGCAGTTCTCAAAGTGTCCCTGCACCAGCAGGTTCAGGGTCTGAAAGGGTCTGGGTAACTTATAGGAAATTATATTGTTTCCAGATCTTTGCATTTAACTATAAAAAGACAAATGCTGACATAATATTGTAGTTCTGAGTAATCCAATTTCATCATGATACTAATTTTCTAAGACCCTGGGGGAAAACAAAATATAAGGCCTTATTTTTTATCTTCATTACTTTCTATGTCCATGTCTCATGGAAATATTAATTAGCAGAGAAGTATAGAACAGCCCTGATTCAGAGAGGAGAAGGACCCAGAAGCTGCCAGTCTAAACTGTCCAGCCACCTGTGCTGTTTCTGTTATTTTGATTAACCTGATGATTCTGAGCAGTTTTTTTTTTTCATTTTACATATTTTCTCAAAGATGAATAAT